ACCAGTCAGACCAGTGCCTACTGGTAGGATTCTAAAGCAGCGTTGCTGGTCACGCAACAGGTAATGGCCAGGGAACTCAGCATCTCCTCTTTCTAGCAGAAGACACCGTTGCAGCCACCTGCATGACAGCCTGCAGTCCCACATCTCCTGCATCAGGGCATCGGTCAAGTTCAGGGAACGGAACATTTGACTCTCTGTGTTACTCCAAGAGATGAATCAGCAACAAGTTGTCAAGCTCTTCTCTCTCTTTTTTTTTTTTTTTAATTAAAATCAACAAGAAACTCACATGCAACTTAACCTCACCTAGCATCAAAACTCCTCCTTTCTCTTTACTCACCTCATCCTCTCTTTTGCGTTAAACCTCAGTCACTTAGTCATACCTAAAATTACACTTTTGTAACCATGACGTAATATGCCCACACACTAAAGTACTAGAAAATTAATAGCAACATTTAACTTTACCTCCCTTCCCTTTTTCTCCCCTCTCTAACCACTAGGCAATGCTCCTTCCCAACCTGGTAAAAATTGGGCAGAGATTTACAGCTCCATGGGCTGGAAGGAGTAACTCCACAAGACATTATTAACAGAAACTTAGAAAGCCCAAGGATAGCTTCAGGTAAATGAATAAGCAGAAAATAAAAAAAATCAAAAACCCCTCGCCCCCCCCCAAACCAACCAAAGCAGCAATGAAACTTGTCAGATCAAATAGAAGGTTGCTGTCTGAACTCACAGGATTTGAGTGTCTTCAGGCATATCAATCTTTCTGTTCTTACTCCTGCTCTCTCTTCTCCCTGGGAGTGCTACAGGAACAGTTGTGTATAGCACATCTCAGCAGTGACAGGTCCAGACAACTACAACTACTAAGCTGTGAGGTTTCTGAGCCAAGACTTGCATCCGAGCAGCCTGCCGAGAGCTAGTCCATGGTGTGGCTCCATTTCTTGTCTCTGACACACTGATGCCTCCACACATGTTCGGGATCAGCTGGCGATCAGCAACTGCTCCTTCTGCGTTGGCACTGCAGGTACCCTTCAAGCCTTTGCTGTGCACCAGTCACCTTCCTCCCCATCACAAGTGACCACGGATTCGTAAGGAGTGAGAACACACGTATGTAATACGCAGTATTGATACGAGGGATGCTGGCCATAGCTGCCTGGGGGGTATTTCTCCCTCTTTAATCAGGGTTTCTCTGATGGAGAAAGCAGAGCTGCAGCAGGCATGGGCAGGGCTGTTTACCAGCACACCACCTCCCATCTTCACAGATCTGTGAGAAACGGCACCCACCGCACAGCAGCCCCACTCTCTGCTTATACTCTGTCTCTCAGAGCTCACTGGGTATCCTTTTGCTTCCCCCGTGCTTTTGCTGTAGAAAAAGCAATGAATACAGTCCTTCATATAACAGAGTTCCTTCTGCCACCTTGGTTGCCATACACCCTCAGCCTACCCAGGATTTTTAAGACACTAGCATGCTGCCCTCCGTTTTCCTCCACCAGGGTAGGTAAATAGGATGCAGCATCTGATACACATCAACCACAACAGAATCCGTATCTCTGTCAAGCAGCTTGCTGTGCTTGGCCACGTAGCAGCACAAATGTTTCTATGTCATGCAGAACCCCAATTTGGCCAGCTGCACACCCCTAACAAATTGGCGTTGCCTGGAAAGGGCTCAGCTGACATGGGAGCTGTCTGTGCACTTGCAATGTGCTGCTGGCTCAGTGCTGGCCAGGTCCATCAGGCTGATCACTCAGGAAAGCATGGGAAAGGATGTGAACCCTAGAAGAGCCCCAGGCAGCAGCAGCAGACCAGAAACCTCTTATCAGGAGATGATTTGGCCTTGTAACTTCTCTTCAGCTATGTTCTCTGCAGGGGAGAGTCTCTCTGGAGCCGCATTAAGCGGTGCCCAAACCCTGGAGTACCTCCACACACCACCTGGGCTGGTCCATCAGGAGAGGAGCTCAGCTCAGAACACTGCAATTTGGAAACATGACCTGCAGGGAAGAGTCACTTACTTTCCTCAAGATGAGAAGGAAAAAAAATAAAATTAAAATTACAGTAGCCAGCCCTACTGATGGAGCTGGGATATCCTTTCTAGTGCAGATCCCCTTTCCTTGCTGGGGAGGGAACAGAATACTTGGTAGTTTCAAAAATCAATGTCAATAACTTGAATACTTATTAAATAATTTTAAATATAGTCTCAGAGCTATTAATAATGTCAGCACTAAAAATTCATAAAGCATTTAATGCTAACAATAAGCAAGTATTTCACTAAATGAACAGCTCATTAACCAGATGGCTTTAATAAAGCCGTTGTGGCCCAGGCAGTCTATGAATGGACTCTGTGTGGTTTGCAAGTGTATAATCCTGTCGTGACCTTGCTTTGAATCTTTAGTCAGAGCCCACAAACCAAGTACTGGATTTGCTCCGGGCAGTTCAGAGTGATATTTGAAGCAGCAATCACAAAGCAGAACCACGGGTCTCACTGACAGCTGTGCTGCTGACTCAACAGTCACAGCCACTCTCCAATTCGGGAGCGAGCCTAGCAGCACCGAGCTTCATCCTGCCAGGATAAGCCAGGTCTGTGCACCTCAGGGGATCCCAGCACTATTTGTGATGTGACTGCACACCCCACTGTGCCACTGTCTCTGAAACGTGCAGGTCTACATTCCCCTTCGCATTTTAGATAAAGAGCCTAACAGATCCTCACCCCCTCCAGATGTGCAGCAATGACAACTGCCACATCCTGCCCCCCACCTGACTACATTCACGGTCTAGGTGAGTTCCTGCCTGCTGACTTAGAGAAATCTTTGGGAGCGTTCCAGCCCTTCACTATCACAGTACTAGCAGCGAGCATAACCTCAACGTGAGTTTCCTCCAGGTGCTGAATGCCCTGTCTCTGCCCAAGCAGCTTGCCGGTAAAGAAAGGAGGCACACAACGTGCTCAGCTAGTTTTGCTACCGAAATTGGTGCAAGCCTGCCAGCATGCGTACTTATAGATGCCCACTCGCCACTTGGATGTCTGGTCACTAGGAAAGCAACACAGCACCAACAACAATCAGAAGACAACAGCAACTTCCAGCCTTTCCTGACAGGGTCTGGATCCAGCACCTCCACTCCTGCGCGATGTGGTTTGCCCCTCTGATACTAGGAGGAGGTGGGGACAGTGAGAAAGCATCAATCAAGCAAAAAGGTCCCTAAGCTTTGACCTTTTGAGGCATTTTTCCATCCTGAGAAATGCAGTGGAAATATCTGAGTGTGGCAACAGCTGCGTCAGCAGAGAGGCACAGCACTTGCTCCACGCTGGCCACACCAGTAGCCAGTCCAGTTTGAAGAAATAGATTTCCTTGAAGCCAGCAGCAGCAAACCACAGGCCACACGCCACCGAGCCGAGAGCAGCACTGTGGAAAAGGAAATAAATGCTGCAGGCTGCTGAAGAGCCACTGCTCACTGTGACCAACATCACAGCTGCAAGAAGGCTGGACCACAAGCAAAGATGATGATGCCCCAGAGCCACGTGTGCGTACTGCCCAGTGGAAATGTGGCAGCAAGCCCCGGGGTTAACCCATGCGAGGGGAGAGCTCCATGGACCAGACACCAAAGTGAGCAAATGTTTTGCCTTTTTTTTTTTAAACACCAAAGCAGCACTTCCTTTCTTTGCCCTTCAGACTGCCACCTGGGAAGTGCTGCTGGGGCCAGAGGGCACACGGAGAAGCATGGTGCCTTTGGGGATGGCCACACTTCTGCTCAGGAACAAGTGTCTAGCTCCACTCAAGCTCAAGCCTGTGTTTTGAGCTCAGTTCCCTTCCTGACAGCAAAACATAGCTTGGGCTGCCTGGTCTGTGCTGCCCATTTCACACCTCCCTGGCCCCCAGATCCTGATGTTTCGATGCTGGAGCCCCAAAGCTCCATGGCAGGGACCCCGTGCCCCACCAAGCAGGCAGCAGAGTGGGGTCAGGCTCTCAGATTTCTGCCGCGCTGCTGGACAGGGAGCAGGGTGCTGGCCCCTGATCAGAGACGCCTTCAGGGCTCTGGCCACTGCAGAAGCCTGCTGCCCCAGATGAGGAAAGGACAGTGCCATGTACTAGAAAAATATACATTTATTTACCACCTGTGTTTTGCTCAGGAGAGAGTGTCCCGTGACGGGGGGGGCAGCTGAAGCCATGCCGGTGATGGTGGCCAGCACGCCCCCACCTGTACCATGGCAGGACTGAGTCTCCACAAGTGACCCTGATGTGTCAAAAGGGTGGGAATGGGGGTGGAGATGCTGCTTTCATCTCAGGCCCCACTGCCCCCTGTCAGCAGAGCACGTGGCTTCCCCACCAGCCCCGCCACCATGGTCATGGTCTCTCTCCAGAGTTAGGACACCCTTCAGGGCACCGCTGCTTCTGGCACGTTCCTTGCAAGGCAGTCGGGATGAGTTAAATAAAGGGGTGGGGGACATCTTCCAGGATGGGAACAGTTGATAACTTAATGCCAAACGAACACATCACATGTAACGAGCCAGTTAGCAGGCAGGTGCCTGTCATACAGCAGTCATGGTGCGAGTGTCCAGGCAGGGAGCCCAGCCATGGCTCGGGAGGGGCAGTTGAAGACTCCTCAGTACTGGTTCCCACACCACTGCCTGTGGTGTGGCACGGCACAGGCACCTGCAGCCCTGGCTCAAGGGACATCCTCAACATCCGCCAGCTGTCCCAAGCTCACCAGGGCCATGACACCACATAGGGCCCTGGTACCAGCATCTTCTCAGGCAGCAAGTAGTGAGTTTCAATGAGGTCCTTCAGCACACTACGTTTTGAGTTTGTTGTCTTTTTCAGAGAGGGAAAATGTGCAATTCTCTTCAGGGAGACAACAGTACATCCCCGGTGCTCCCCAGAGGTCTGCTTTCAAGACTCTACCAGTTGCTTGAGCCCTCCCTTGCTGAAAGCCAAAACATGGTTTCTTGGTGGGCTTCCCAGTGCAAGACCCTGGCTTGGCCACTGCTACTCAGGCAGCACTCGCCCCTCACACATGTCCTAGTGTGCGTAGGGGACTGCCCGCCACACTCCAACAGCCCCATTTAAAGCTTAAATAAGCCAAAGAATGTCTTGGATTCCTCAAAATTAACCAGAGCGATTTTGGAGACGTTGACATACAAACTGTCCATCTTCCTGAGCTTGAATAAAGCCCCCAGGTAGCTTTTCCGGGCCCAGGTTTTCTGACTTGTACAGTAGTTGATGCGTTTGTCCTCCATTAGCACGTGGCTGCCTGGTGAGGCCGGGTTTTTCTTGTAGACAATGTGGGTCAACATTTGGCTGCTGCAGACGCTTCCCCGGAAAAGCACATTGGAGTACACGAAGTACAGGCCGGTCTCATTGACAACAAGACCCTGATCGCGATACTGAATGCCATCGGTGAAGGCATGGCCAGAGATGGGTTCCCACTCCAAAGGAAGGTCCTGCTGAGCAGGGTTCCCTAGAAGCCAAAACAAGAGAAAAAACATGGTAAGTACAAGCAATTGTTCATTTTTTTCCTACAAGTCACATCTTGTGTCACAACAAGTCAACTGTTCTCTCCAAGCCCTTGCCTGCAGCATGGAAAGTCCACCCCAACCTTGCGTTGGTGGGAGCTCTCACCTCCACCTCGCTCAATGCCAGCTGCTGGTGACAGCTTTCTGCCCTGCATATCCTGGGTACAAACCAAAAACCAAATTTAAAAACTGAAAAGCCTAAATGTGGGGAAGACTTTAGCTGTGGAGTAACTTTTTGCTGTCAGAGCACACACGTTAGCAAAGGAAAACAGGAAAACTTATGTCAGGTGGGCTCCTCCCAGCTGCAGCCATGCCACGGTCTCACCCCGGCCACATCTGCCTTGTCCCCTATTCCACATCTTGCTGGTCCCTCAGCACATACCTGTTAAATGTGCTGCCTTCCTCGCTTCCTTCTTCATCGACTGCTCGTTCTGCCCTGCACAAAAATAGGGAAGACATTAGCCACATGCTCCGTGGAGAAGCCAGCCCAGAGAGCAGAAAGAAACGAGCTGACTGCAAAGCCGAAATGGGGCAGATTTGGACCAGCACAGGGCACGTAAGCACCATGGCTTGGCAGAGCGGTGCTTGGGCTGCAGGGCAAGAGAGGGAGTTTAAAAGGAGGAGTCAGAGCAAAGGATCCAGATGTGATCAAAACCAAGGGGAAAGGGCAAGAGGAGCTTTCATCTTAAAATGGCTTCAATCAGTGAGCTCAAGCAGAGGCATCTCACTCAGGGTGTAAGGAGAGGGACAACAAAGCGCCTTTACCCAGCACCTGTGGCCCATGCTGAGGTGGCTGCTCATGTCCTGGCATGGATGCCTGCTCTATTGCCACCCTCCAGTCCAGCACTACTGAGGGCAGATGTACCCATGGATTTCTGTGTGCTGAGTACCAACCCAGCATCCTGCAAACCCTCTCACTGGCCAGGGAGACCTTGTCCTCAGAGGATAAGAGCACAGCTGGGAAAATTCTGCTTTCCCTGGAGGACTTGTATCACCTTGAAGAGATGGGACAGTTACAGTGACATGTTTTTTGGACCACTTGCCACTCCATCCCTCCCTTCTTCTCAGCATCTACTTCCAAACATCATGTTCGAAAGTTTTAGAGAAAGCCTTTTTCTCAAGCTAATTAAGTTTTCCTCTCCTCTCTCCCTTCTCATTTACACTATGTCCCTGGGTTTATTTATTTATTTATCCCCTGCAAGAAATTCAGAGTTATTATTCATGACTTAAGTTCAGCTACTGCTAAAGCAGCCTGTGACCAGAGCACTGAGCATCCAGTGAAAGTGACAGTTCCCCTTCCCCTAAGCAATAGATTACAAAATGTGTTGATATGGGAGTTGATGGGAAGCAGGACTGCCCCTTCCAGAGAATTTTCCTATTTCCAAATCTGCTTTCATTATCAGAATGAACTTGAAAATAAATTAACTTTCCTACTAATGAAAATCCTCAAGGGAAAAAAAAAATATTTTCAGATCTAGCAGAAATTATTAAGAGAGCTGAAAATTTCTTTCCAATTTGGCCATTTTTAAAAAGGGATATCCACTGATAACATTAATATGGAATGTAAAAGTAAAATAATAGTTTGGAAGTTCAAAATATGTTCCATTCAGACTGAAACACTTTTTTTCCTAAATGAAATTCAGCAAATTCGCAGGTTCTTGTGGGAAGTTTCAATTCCGCTGAAATGACATTTCTAAAGAAAAAAACACCCCACATATAGTCAGGGTCTTCTGCTCGCTCTGGCTGCAATGAGACTTTGTAACAAAAGAATTTAGGAAAAAATAAGTTGTGCTCTTGAGGGTGGGAGTGAATCCCCCACCCCCAAAGAAAATGAAACCTTCTGCATCCTCCCAGAATCTTAAAAGAGTCAGGAAAGAAGTAACACGTGCGGTGCCCATCTCCATTCTCCTCCTTCCCTTCACGTTATCGCTATATACTAGGACAGTCAGAAATTCACTTTTACAGCAGAGTCCCCCTGATACCATCACCCCACAGGGCCTGGGAATCCCCAAGGCAGAGGCACACTGTGCCAGGGGCCTGTGGCTGACACCTCGGTGCACTCCGGCAGGGAGGGTGGAGGACCCCAGCCCCACACCCCAGAAATAAAGCTCTTCTTCCAGCCAGCAGGTAAAATCAGCGCTTGCAGAGCATTAAGCTGTGACCCTGCCTTTGCCCCCCGATGAGGAGAGGGAAGAGCTCGACAGGAGCATTCACGCATGCTAACAGAGGAGTTCGTCCTCTGTCTACATCCACTCACCTATGAGTTTCTCCAGAGCTGGAGGGATGTGCTCAGTGCTGGCAGACTGTCAAAAGAGAAGAGTGACAAGCTGTCTTAGCAGGGTGAGAGCACAAGAGCATCATCTAAAGCACCCAAGGACTATCTTTGACAGTGTCTAATTCTGGGTGATCACAGGGAGCTGCAAAGTGCTGAGAAATATACAGGGAGAGAGACCTTGCAGCACTCAGAAATACAAAGACATCCAGATATATCAGTCACTGACCGATCAGTCCCCACAGTAACGAGCAGCCCCACTTGCACTGGTCTGGCAGATAAGGAAATGCCACCAGCCTGCCCCTGGTGGAGTTTTACACCACCTGAGCATCTCAGACCCAATTTTAAGTTTCTTCTTTTCCCCCCTCTTCCCCAGAGGCTCTGTGAGCAGCCAGGCACACCTCACCTCTCTGAGCTCTGCCAGTTCCTTCTCCAGGTGGAAAATCTGGAACATGCTCAGCACCACTCCTGTGAGGGCCAGCAGGATCAGCAAGAACATCACCAGGAAGCCAACGCTCCTCCTTTCACTGTTTTTCCTTGGCTTTCTCCTCCGGTCAGGCACTGGTGGTGGGAATGGAGCGACGGGGGGCGTCGGGGGGCAGGAAGTACTTGCGTTGGCACAGCCGTCCACCCAAAAGATCTGGGGGTACACATAGTTCAAGTTCTGCTGCATGGCCGGGAGCGGCATGGGCTGGACGTGCTTGGTGTGATCTTCCACGGGGCAGGCAAAAACTGCCGGGGCTGTCCCAGACTGAGCCCCAGGGGAAGACCCAGCTCTGTCTTTATATGCCCACATCACCCCAGCAGTGAACACACAGCTCGGATGCTGCAAGGCTATCAAAGCCTCAAGCATCAACAGCAAACCCCAAAGAGCTTCCGCCCTCTGCTGCAAGTTCGGGGCACCCGCCTGCTCCTCCCACACCGAGGCAGCACGCACACGGCGGGGCCAGCCTGGAGCCAGACTGTGCTGCACAAAACCACGCAGGGCAGCCGGGCTAGCAGGCAGGTGCACTCAGCAGCCAAGCACAGGCAAGGGCTGTGCTGCCAGCCGGGGGCTGAGTAATCAGCCCAGTGCACGCCCACCAGCCAGCCACCCTTTCCAGCAGCCCACTCGGGCAGAGGCAGCTGCTTTTCCACTGAGGTGTCCCGGTGACCACAAGCAGAGCGAAAGGAATGACAACGCCTCTGTCACCCTGCGTGAGAGGGGAGAGGTAGGGCTGAGGACTCCTCCTCTCAGCAGAAGGATGGAGACCTGATCCCAAGCGCAGCTGTGGGTGCTGGGGAACTGCTTCATTTCACATGGGACAAATCACTTACTGCTGTTGCGCATTCCACCTTTTCCTTGGCTTTTCCTGCCCCACTAATCTCTGCACATACTGTCTCCAATCCCCCCATCCTCTTCTAACCTGAAAAGTGTTAGGGAGGGAAGGGCTTCTTTATCATCTCTTCAGGCCACGAAGACGATCAGGGGGCTGGAGCACCTCCCCTATGAGGACAGGCTGAGGGAGTTAGGCTTGTTCAGCCTGGGGAAGAGAAGGCTGCGGGGTGACCTCATTGCAGCCTTTCAATACCTGAAGGGAATCTACACCCAGGAGGGGAGTAAACTCTTTGAAAGGGCCGACAATAGCAGGACTAGGGGAAATGGATACAAGTTGAAGGAGGGAAGATTTAGGTTGGATGTTAGGGGGAAGTTCTTTACTAGGAGAGTGGTTAGGCCCTGGAACAGGCTGCCCAGGGAGGTTGTGGATGCCCCGTCCTTGGAGGTGTTCAAGGCCAGGTTGGACGGGGCCCTGGGCAACCTGATCTAGTAAATGTGTATGTTTGGTGGCCCTGCCAGGCAGGGGGGTTGGAACTACATGATCCTTGAGGTCCCTTCCAACCCGGGTCATTCTATGATTCTATGATTCTATGACAAAGCTGAGCGCTGCAGCAGGACCGAACCTGGCTGCGTACCTTGTGGTTAAAGCCTGGGGTGGACACTGTGCTACCCGTCCTGGTGGAATTTCTCTTGCCTTCCAAGAAAGGACCCAGAATTCAGGCCATGCTGCAAGAACCGGCACTCACAAGAGCTCATTACGAAATCAAAATGAGGAGACACAGTCAGGGACATTTCCGTTCCTCAGTTTCCAATTTCTCAATTTCCATTCCTCCTTGACCACAGATTTCTAAGTGGTGGCAATGAGATTTCCCTAGAAATTTACAGGTGCACACAAGGGATTATAAACAGCAGTTTGGTCTTCCATTTCACAGACCTACATTGAAGCATGTATTTGTACGAGGTAGTGTTTAAAAAAAGGAAATGCTTAATACAAGAACAAACTGGAGATTTCTCTCCTCTCTGGCTGAAGGAAGCGATCCCAACACGCAAGTTTTGATCTGGAACATCAGAACTGGGGTCTGAGAACAGCGTGCGCTTTAACATGTGCACGCTGGTTTCCCCAAAGCAAGGGCTCAGCTTTGCCTCCAACCACACCAATAAGCCAGACGTGTCCTCAAAGCCTTGCCTGCACCACCAGACGCCCCACTGCTTTTTGAAGGTGTTCACCACAGCCGTTTGCTGCAGCACCCATCCACAGCACGAGAGGCTCCAGCAACCCAGCTGGCTCTTCTCATACTTCTAGGTTTCCGACATGGGTGTCCGGGGATTCCCGTTTCTTCCCTTCAACTGCTGTCAAATACAAGGATGGCGCAGGGAGCAGGGACCGAAACCCTGGGCTTCCTCAAAGCTGGAGGCATCGCTGACAAGCACGTCAGAAGTCATTGAGCACACAGCTTTGCCTGGAGAGGATCCGCTCTGAAGCGTTTTCTCACACTGACTGTTTCACGCAGACAGCTTGTCTTGGGGGGGATTGCAGGCGCCGTAGCAGTCTCCCTTAAATGTCAGAAGTGTACTTATTTCTCACCCACTGCTTCCTATTTTCACAAAGACGCTTTTTCAATGGGCGGTTGAGAGGGCAGAGGCGATGAAACCAATGCAAGCCAGTTCAGCCATGGCTACTGCATCTGCTCTTCCAGATGCTCAGATTCAGAGCCTACTAGCACCATGTGTTGTGGCAAGCCCAAGACTGGGGCTATTCTACCATGCAAGGATGATTTTTGGTGCACAGTATGCTTTCAGAGACCTTTCCGCTCGTAGCACACTCTGCTGTGCTGGTCCTGCTGTCACCATCCCCACTTATTTTTGCTAGATGGCCTAAAGCCAAATTTAGACCAGGTTGAGCTCTCCTAAAATAGGGGGCAAGGCCAGTTGGGCAGGAAAGGAGGACATAAGGAGGACAAAAGGGGTGTCAAGTCTGTCTGCCTGCCTCCCTAAACCCCTCTTCACCCAGTCTGCAAGATGCACACTCTGCTTTCAGCAGCCTTATGTCATTTGAACAGGAGGGAATATTTTTGGAAACACCTTCCACACCCTTTATCAGAGAATCAATCTCCTTTCCAAAACCAGCAAGCGCCAAGCCACAGGTACCAGACAGAAAAAGATTATTTTGGTCAGAAGAACCCCCTCCGTCCCCACCTCATCCCCAGAGGAGAGGTGGGAGCTCTTGTTAATGGTACAAGCTATTATGCTAAGGGTTATGTTGACAGCAAAGAGAACCAGCCAGCAGCTAAAAGTTTGTATGAACAGATTTAAGGACAAAAGGATGACCTGCTTGAAATACACCAAAGCAAGCAGGACTTAAACAATGATCCAGATCTAATACTTGACATAAAATTTTAAAAAAACACCCCAATTGTGAACCGCTGTGTAGGAGAGGCTCTCATCAGGCTCTGGACAGAGTCAGATACACATCTGTCTGAAAGCGATTAACAAATGTTTCCTATCACACCAGTGACTAGAGGAAATGCTAAAAAGCAACTATTGAAAGCCCACAGGGCTGCATAAAAAACACCCAAGAACAACTGGAGAAGTAGTTGAGAACCATCCACATTCAAAAAACAGGATTCAAAACATTAACCCGAGACATTAACAGCCTCGGCAACCTTTGCGGTCCCAGGCTGAACCATGCCATCAGAGCCAGGACAGGCAACTGCTGCCAACTCAGTAAGGATCAGCCACAGAAGAGATGGCACCCATTAACCACCCACTGGTGGGTACGGTGGAAAGAGTAACTGAGAGCACCGTCCAGGACAAGGCTGCTGATTTTCCACCAGGATTGTCCTCAACACGGTGCTATTTCAACACCCTTACAACAGATCTGGAGAAAACCAAGCAAAATATGACACTAGTAATACTTGCAAATTAAAATCACTGCTAAGGGATCCTAAGTAACCACGAGGACAGAGAATTTAATCAGAAAACAAGTCTAGAAACCAAGACTGCAAATCAAACTCTTTAGATGGAAAATAACACCCTGGAAAGCACAGTTCTGAAGCTGATAGAGAGGCCACCCAGTTGGCCATGAGCTGCCAGCAGGGAAGCCCATGAGGTGCTTGCCTGCAGCCCCAGAACGCACGTTACAAGTTTGTGTTCACTTCAGAGGGGCTCAGGGAGAAGTTGCAATAACTGCTGGAGAGAAAAGGTGTTCAGCTTGGTCCATTTGAAAACAGATTGGCAGAGAGGGACAGACAGTGTGTGAGAAACCTGTACAAAGAGGGACCACTTCCAGAACAAAGGGCTCTTGAATATCAGAAAAAAAACCCCTCCTGGGGAGCCACGAGCTGGGAGCCAAAGCTGAAGGAGTTTGGTCAGAAATTACGTGGATTTTGAACTGAAGATTGGAATGGATGCTTGTGAGAACTGCCTCCAAAGGCAGCAGGTCTCCATCCACCAGAGCCTTCGAGGGGCATGGAGGACCCCAGAACTCACCCAGCCTTGCAGTGAGCACTGATGTCTTGGTGGTGTTTCTGTATTACAAGTTTTTAACAGTTCAGTTTTCCCAGGCAAGGGCGATGGTTTTCATTTCCTCAACAACTGCTCTTCGCTAGAAGCATCTGCAGCACATGCAGAGCCCGGGCTTGGTGCCAACAGCTCATGAGGAAGACACACATTCACACTCAAGAGCAGGTTTCAAAATCCATTTCTACCAGCTCTGGCCTGGATTGCAGCGCTTCACGTGGCTCTCTTCCCGTGGGCAAGGTGCTCTGCTGTCTCCTTCATGAAGCATGTACCAGCTGCCCCATGAGCCCAACAAGCAGGCAGCAGCCCCGGGGTTAGCAGAAGAGGTCCAGGGCTTGGATGTAAGGCAGGAGCCAAAGAAGCTGAGAAAAAGAACTGAAAGCAGCAGAGTAAGTTTTTATTTCTTTTGTGCCTGCAATAAGAGCAAGGAAATGAGGTACAGGGGTTATGAGGTAATGGGATCTATCGCTTGAACATCCGAGAAAGCGAGAAGTGGGTCATTTCATAATATACGATAGCTTAGTCATGGGAGAAAAATGGAACAAGACACTGTGGCTACTCAGAGGTTGCAAGGAAGACCACAGTGAACGTGCAGATCTTCATTTCCCATCCTCCCCTGTGACAGTCGAGAACTGCTTTCATTTCAGCCCTCCAGCAGGATCCGTGCCCTGCCCTGGGCTGCCAGCACAAAGCCAGCCTCGGCTCTGGAAAATGCCAGCTGGCTCTGCTGGCCTGGGTGGCCCAGCCAGTATCTGACAATCTTATTCTTTCTTTGGAGCAGCCCTTCTCAGCCCATTAAAAAAAAAAAAAAAGAAATCTATAAATTGAGATCTACCTTGAGATCCTTAGGGAGTTCCGTCAGGATCACTCCTCAGCTCTGCACCACTGAGGGATCCAGGCCCTCCAGCATCTGTTTGGCAAACGGAGACCCCAACACCAGATGTGCCCATCTCATCACA